CTACTTTTTTGTATTTTTAGTAGAGACAGGGTTTCACCGTGTTGACCAGGATGGTCTCGATCTCTTGACCTCGTGATCCACCCGCCTCAGCCTCCCAAAGTGCTGGGATTACAGGCTTAAGCCACCGTGCCCGGCCTTATTTACAGTTTTAAATGCCAGATTAACTTTGAAGATTTATAAGTGGTGGAGTAATTTGTTAACTTTGAAGATTTAGAAGTGGGAAGTAATATGATGGGAGAATGTTACTGGCAGTGGTGTGTAGAATGGCTTGAAGAAGCAGAAGCAGGGAGATAAATTGAGATTATCACAGGAAACGGTGATTGTGGTAGTTATCCTTGAAAATAAGAAGCAGATTATATTGCACTGAGAAGGATGGATGAGGAGGGATTATGTTAGCAGGAGGCACTGGAAAACTGATACCATTCTGTCAATTTGAGTTCATAGGATAATGGTGACAATAAATTTGTATAATAACTTAGAGCACATTTATGCACTAACCTAAATCAGTAAATTAATGGTATTTCTGTGAGTCGAAAGCCAGACATAAGTCAGGATTGGACTTAATTTTAGATGTGGCATTTGGCCATTTTGAGGTGGCCTTCAAATAGGCATGTCACGCGTGCAAGTTAAAAATCTAGAGTCAGAGATCTGGAATGCGGTGAGGTATACTGATAAGGTATTGAAGTCATTTGCATAGAAGTTACACATAAACTGGATGAAATCTTCAAGGGAGCATAATACAAATGAAGAAGAACAGACCTAAGAGTTGAGCTTTAAGGAAGAGAGAATGAGCCTAAGAAAAGCATTTGATGAAGGAGATTGAGAAATAGTAGATTGTGAGTTGGACTTACCATTTGCTATGTACCTTTCCTTCTCTTTACAATTTTATGCAGATCTTTAATTCAGTAATGTAGAATTTAGTGAAGAGATTCTTGTTCATGCTGTCTAAACCTTTTCAATTCTGTGTTGAAGCCAGCCTGTGAGAGTCGAATATTAAATGTTCAGGAATTTCGCAAGCTGACTAAACACAACATTTCCGTTTTAAAAAGTTATATAAGCTTAAAATTAAATGTCACATGAAAAATAAAAACAGTAAATACTCAAAACTCATCGCTTCCTTATTATTTCATGTTACTATTTATGCTCTTGAAGTTGTTATTTAAACCTGTTGTGTCTTTGTGGTAGAAATGTGTTTTAATGCTGCACTACTGTTTATTACTTCCCAACTCACTTTTGTTATGCCACTTTGGTCGAATGGTACTCAGAGACCCGGGCGAGGTGGTGGGGGGAAGAAATTGGCTATGGTAGGAGTATGTACACCATGAAAATCAGCAAATGATAAAAAGCAGTGCTTTATTTATTGTTTGGTTGATTATAGACTTAAGAAAGTGATAGAGAAGTTGTTAACAATACAGATTCAACTTAAAGGTGTATGGGACAGTGTATATCATTACAATACGAATAACAAAAAATTGAGGAAGTATTTTCCCTCAACCCTTATCTGAGTCGGCAGAGAAGCTGCTCACAACATTGACTAATGAGTAAAGTTTCAACAAATGTCTTTATCATTTTACTTGCATCCTACTCAGTAAAGTGAACAAAAACAGCAACTACCTTTCATGTTAACATTCCTATTCATTCATTAGTTGTAGCTGTGGTTTAGATTCCTATATAAGAGTTGGGCAAAAATATCAAAATTACTTTGTGAAAATCAATTGGTTATGTGGAATTTACAATAAAGAGTATTTTGTGTTTTATTATTGTTTGTAAATTATGTGCTAAGTATCCTTTATGTCTTTTTTTTTTTTTTTTCCCGAGATGGAGTCTGCTCTGTTGCCCAGGCTGGAGTGCAGTGGTGTAATCTTGGCTCAGTACAACCTCTGCCTCCATGTCTCAGTTGATTCTCCTGCCTCAGCCTCCTGAGTAGCTGGGATTACAGGCATGCACTACCACACCAGCTAGTTTTTGTATTTTTAGTCGAGATGGGATTTCAGTACATTGGCCAGTCCTGTCTCTAATTCTTGATCTCAGGTGATCTGCCTGCCTCGGCCTCCCAAAGTGCTGGGATTACAGGGGGTGAGCCACCATCCCCAGCTAGATGTCTTAATACTTATAACTTAGGTGTTTGTATATATATATATTTTTGAAGAGCCAGTGGTCAAACATTAACTGGCACAACACTGACTTTCATGACTTTATGAAAGGAATGAAAATCATCCTAAACCTTCATGTTTTTATACTGAAGAATTAGTCTTTTGCAATTATATTTTGCATTTATTTTTGTATAGCAGCTATCATTTCTTCTTCATTTCCCTCTTTATTTGAGGGATCCATTTCATGTACTGTTACGTAAAATTAGGCAGCAAAGACAACGTTAGTTTGCTAAAGAGTTTTTCTGAAATAGAAGTATAAACCATTTCTAATCAGCCATATAGCAGGAGATAAGGAAAGTAGTGAAACAAATGCATTGTACTTATTAATTTGTTCACTAAAATAATATAACCTTTTTTAGGGATTCAACTAATGAAACTACTGCCCATTCCGATGCTGGCAGCGAACTTGAAGAAACAGAGGTCAAAGGAAAAAGAAAAAGGGGTCGTCCTGGCCGGCCTCCAGTATGTATTTTGCTTGTCTACTTTATTCCTTTAAGAGTGACTGTGTTAATCAGTTTGATATGAGTTGTTAATTGTAGTGCTAGTAAGGTTAATAATTTAGAAAAACAGTCAGTGACATAATAGAGATGGGAAACTTTGTTTCACATAAATTTTGTTGGCAGTGATCAGTAAAAGGAAATGATTGTAGTATGGTTTTGTTGCTGTCCTTCAAATGGTAGTCCATGTGAAGGAATAGCAGGTCACTAACAATGAATGAGGTTTAGTTAATTAAGACTTCATGCTTTTCAGATGGAACTCTGATTTCTTATGAGCTCCTAAATACTGTTTTGGAGTTTGGGGCAGTCTCAGAATTTATTCTCATTGATAATCTGATTGAAAAATTTAGAAGAGCTCTAGATAATTCTACTTTGAGAGATAGCTTTATGTATTGTAAGAACATCAGTCATAATTTAAGCATGCATAAACCGTCTACAAGATACCATTACCTGCTTGTCAAAGAATTAAGGCATATGCTGTTCTGCATTCGCTTATATGATGTGATTTACTGTTAATTTTTTTTTCTATTTTATGAAAGTTCTTTTAATGGAAACTCTTAGCCTCTTCTTAATAGGAGACATTATATAATGAACTTCCCATATTCCCATTATCTAGCTTCAGCAGTTATCAAATCATGGCCAATCTTGTTTCATGTCTTCATTCCTCCTCCTCTTTTTCCATCCTGTGTTATTTTTAAGGTCATTCTAGACATCATTCCATTTGTAAATGTTTTAGTGTGTATTGCTAAAAATAAACGTTTTTTTTTTTTAATACCACTGCAATATCATTATCAAGCCCTGGTATAAAGTATTTTATTAATATCACCAAATACAGTAGCTAGTTTTATAGCTTATAATCATCTTATGAACATTTAAAATTCAGTTTGGTGATTAGAATCATGACACAGGTATGATCCATCCCGTGCAATTGTTGCTTAACCACTTATTACTTATATGTCTTTTATAATGAGTTCCTCAAGAAGACTGGCTTTTTTGATGTAGTTAAGTCATTTTTCCTTTTTTGCCAGAATTTTTTATTAGTAACTATTTCGGGCCACCTTTAAGATTAAAAAAGATAAAGACTTTTTACTGTATTTTGCTATACACTTGGTTTTATCGTCTACTTTTTTTTTTTTTGTTACGGAGTCTTCCTCTTGTTTGTTGCCCCGGGCTGGAGTGCAATGGCACAATCTTGACTCATGGCAGCCTCCGCCTCCCGAGTTTAAGTGATTCTCCTGCCTCAGCCTCCTAAGTACCTGGGATTACAGGCGTGCGCCACCATGCCCAGCTAATTTTTTGTACTTCTAGTAGAGATGGGGTTTCTGTATGTTGATCAGGCTGGTCTCGAATTCCCAAGCTCAGGTGATCTACCCGCCTTGGCCTCCCACAGTGCTGGGATTACAGACGTTAGCCACTGTGCCTGGCTGTCCTTTACTGTTATTTAAAGGAAGAAAATAATGAGGGATGACATGCCATATAGTAACTTTTTGTATTGCTTCTTCATTTCTAGAAGTATTTTGTGGTACAGTATTCCTTACAAAAATATTTTCGGAAAAGTGAAAGAGTTCTGCACTTGAAAGCTGGCAGTTATTCTAGTTCCCCTTACTACTGTGTGATTTTTTCCAAGACTGTAGGCAAATTTCATTACTATCCTGGGAATCTGAGGTTACAACTGCAAAATAGGAAATAAGACTAGACTTGCTTAAAGGTAGGTGAATGAATTGCCCACCTTGATTGATTGCGTACTTGAATTTGTTCTCCCCTACTTGAAATTCTTCACTTACAGGATTCAGATTAAGTACTGTCTCCTTAAGGAAAGCTTTTTATTTTTCCTAAAAAGAATTAACCACCGCTTCAGCAAGCTATTGTATTATTCCTTGGAACTGGTTTAATTTTTATGTGTGTACAACTGAATCCTTGTAATGTTGTGCTTTTTGAATGAAAAGAAGTCTGTGTACCGAAATGCTTAATTAACCCTTTTGTGGTGGGAAATACTTGATTTTTAGTGAAGTTACTACTACATAGTCTGATAAATAAATAGTACATGTTTATGCCATAATTACAGTATTGAAAAAGATGTCAACCAGTGTAAGATAGTAGCTTTCTAGAAACTTGTTTTATTTATGTTTCAGTCTACACATTTGCACAAATTATTTCACGTGGCTATCTATACTTCTACCTAATTTCAGTCAGGCTTTCATCTTGATTGTGGAAACAACATAACATAATACCGCTTCCTGAATTTCTACTTTGAGCTTTGTGTTAGCTTGGTGCTGTTTATGTTATTTAATCCTCACACTAGTGTTATGAAATAGGTCTTAGATGCAGTTTACAGTGTAGAATAAAAAGCTTAAAAGTGGTAATTTGCCTAAGATCACATAGCAAGTAAGTGGGAAAGCTAGGATTTGAATTTATATGCCAACTCCCACAATCTTAAGGAAGCCAGAATGCTAAGCTGTTAATTAATCTTGAGATTTATAATTGTCAGAATGATCACATTGGAGTTCTCCCTCAGGTACCTCTTCTGAAGAAATACCAGGTATTGATCGACTTACCACCTATGCAACTTACGACCATCCGACTTTATGACCACAATCGCTAGCGATGACTGCTCTGCGTCTGGCAGCGCAAACGTTGCCCAGCTGGGCATACGACAGTGCGGACCAGCTTCCGGCAGCACTACCATCTCCGCGTGCACCATTTCAACTGTACACATAGCCTACTCAACTTACGACCAAATCGTGTTACAACCGATCCGCGGTCCCGACCGTGGTCGTAAGTCGAGCACTAGCTGTATTGGACATTTCCTGTCAGCTAGCTGCATTTTGAACAATAAGTCAAATTTTGACTAATGGCATTTTTTTGTTTAGCTGTGGTAATACTAGTCATCGCTTTTAATCTAGTAAGTTTAATCTTTTTTAAAATTTATTACTTTTAGAGGGGATGTCTTGTATCTTTGGTTTTCATTTAGCCAGTCAAAACATACACCGCTAGTGCTCGACTTAATGACCACTATTGGTTCAGACAGACCGGCCGTAACACGATTTGGTCGTAAGTTGAGTAGGCTATATGCACGCGGAGATGGTAGTGCTGCCAGAAGCTGGTCTACACTGTCATACGCCCAGCTGGGCAATGTTTGTGCTGTCAGACGCAGAGCAGTCGTGGCTAGCGATTGTGGTCGTAAAGTCGAATGGTCGTAAGTTGCATGTGTCGTAAGTAGATCAATACCTGTAATATAAGGAGTTTCTATTATAGACAGTATTGTTTCCCTTATTTTTATTTTATGTTTTATTTATTTATTTTTTTTAGACAGGATCTCACTCTTTGTCACCCAGGCTGGAGTGCAGTGGCACAACCATGGCTCACTGCATCCTCAAAGTCCAGGGCTCAAACAGTTCTCCACCTTCGAAGCCTCCCAAGTAGCTGGGTTTACAGGCCCCTGCCACCACACGTGGCTGATTTATTTTTATGTGGAGATCAGGTCTCACTGTGTTGCCCAAGCTGGCCTCAAACTCCTGGACATTTTTTTTCTACATAACCACAGTACAATTATGAAAATATGAAAATAATATTGATATAATATTTATACATCTCATTTAGATTTGCCAATTGTCATAATCTAATAATCCCTTAAAAGAAAAAATATTTTTTTTTTCCTGAATGAGGTTCCAGTCCAGTATTTTATGTTGCTTGCAGTTGTCATGTAAATTGGCACCTCTCTAACCTTAACCCCTCTTTAGTTTCTGTGTTTTATTAAGTACTTTTTTCTCTTTGTTCTGTTTAAGTCAGAATGAGCACTTCTATTTTCTCAATGTTATATACCTTTCATATTTGCATAGGCTAAGTAGGAGAGGTCAGTAAAAAGATACAACTTTTATTTTTAAATGTCTGTCTGTTCATACATAGAAGATGGACAATATACCACAAAAGTTTAATAATGAGTATCAGAAGGGTAGGTTAATAGGTCACTTATAAAAATTGGATCTTTTAAATTGTTTGTTATTTTTAATGTAGACTATTGTGAATTTCATAGTATTCAAATTCCCAAAATTTTTTTTATTTCAAATACCAGAATTTTTATTTACCCATCCTCTTGGTTTATCATGACCTCATTTTGACCCAGGGTTGTGATAAGAACCAGCATGTTATAATGTGGTAGCAGATGTCTGCTAGGTTTTATGTTTTTCTGGCCCCTCTCAACCTCTGTCACTTCTTTTGTCATTTCTTGGTTTCCCTTTAATAGTCTATTCTAACTCCTGTAAAATAGAAAGTACCAACCCCATTGTTACGAGGTTTTAAAAGGACTAAACCAGGATTCAGTCAATCTTTCGGGAATATTCAGACTCCAACAGTTCCTTCTTGTTATTCAGTATAGCTCCTTCTCATCTGTAATGGGCAGAAGAACCACTGAAATAATAAACCAGGAACATAGGTATAAGTCTGTAGGCCAGGTTAAGCCTTAGGTGTAAAATATATGGGCTTCGTGACCACCACTACCAAAATCCAGCCTAAAGGACTGACTTAATAGTTCCAGTAACAGTGAGCTCATGGTTCCCTGTAGATGCCTCTCTTGTACCTCCAGTATGACCAGAGCTTGAGGAAGGGCCTCTCACTGCCCGCTGCCACACTTGGAATAGTATGAGGGTCTCAGCAGAGGCTGGAAACTGAGTCCAGCCACAGGGAGTCAAATGTGGGACACCGACAAACCAATTGCAGAGTTGGTGCCATGTTGAGCATTTATGTTAAAAATTATGAACTATTCTAAACCATGATGATATGAACTGTTTTGCAAATAAATTTTGCTGTATAGCCATTGTTTTTTTTTTATCCTAAATTTCTAAAAGTGGAGTTTGTTAGTGTATGTTGTTTGTTTTGAGACTTTTTGACATGTATTACTGCCCTTCACACAGCAAAATATATGGGTATAAGATACTGCTTATAATGGTTAAGTCTTTTCTAAATTTT